CGCCGCGGGGGACGTGGGCACGGGCGGGTGGTGGCCGGCTGGGACACGGTGGAGATGGCCTCTCCGCTCCACCCATGGGACAGGCACGCACCCGTGTGTCCTACACCCAGCTCTGGGGCTTCCTCCATCCCCAGGAATGTACTGAGACCCCAGTGAAGACCCCAGGACCCCAATGAAGACCCCGAGACCCCAGTGAAGACCCCGAGACCTTAGTGAAGGTGCTGAGACCCCAGTGAAGATCCCAGGACCCCACTGAAGACCACAGGACCCCAGTGAAGACCCCAAGAAGTCAGTGAAGATTCCAGGACCCCAGTGAAGACCCCAGGACCCCAGTGAAGGTGCTGAGACCGCAGTGAAGACCCCAGGACCCCAGTGAAACTCTCAGAACCCCAGTGAAACTCCCAGGACCCCAGTGAAGGTGCTGAGACCCATGCTCCACCTATGGAACAGGCATGCACCCATGTGTCCTACACCCAGCTCTGGGGCTTCCTCCATCCAGGGACCCACAGCAGACCCAATTCCAACCCCATTCCGACGCAGTGGGCCACGGGACTCACCTCCACCTTCTCCACGACCTGCTTCCCAAAGGAGCACACCTTGGTGGAGACCGTGATGGTCATGTTCTCCGCACTGCTGTACTGGCTGCTGACACCGTAGAAAGTCCCCGGCCCGTCCTGGATCGTGCTGTTCAGATCCGCCTGGAGAGGTGAGAGCGGGGAGAGGGTCCCGTTAGGTGCCACCGCACCCAGCTCTGGATGGGGACAGGGGACACCGGCTTACGGGGCTGCTCGGGAGGCTCCCGCTCCATTTGCCTGCTGTAGGTGACCCTGCTTGGGCAGGAGGGGTGGACTAGATGACCCATAGAGGTCCCTTCCAACCCCAACCATTCTGTGATTCTGTGATTCCATCAACGGGGTGCCCAACCCACAACAAGGCTCAAGGAGAACCCCTCCCCAGTCCTCCCCCTCGCAGCATCGCACCCAAAATTTGACGAGGAAGAAGGAGTTCTGGGGCCCACGCTCGTAGAGCTCCTTGAGGCCGCCTTTCTTCTCGGGGAACTTGTCATAGATCTGGCGGATATCGACGGCCTCCAGCAGCGGGTCGCTGTACGAGGGGTTCGTCTGGCCGATGTGCACGAAGAGGTGTTTGCTGTACTGTAAGGACCGGGGTGGAGGAAATTAAAACGAGAGGTCAGACGGAAGCACGATGCCGCCGAGCACGGGGATGGGCACCGTCCCACCAGGGCAGGGGGGACACGGAGGGGACCGTTACCGTTTCGGCGTCCCGCGGCACCTCCATGAAGGCTGAGTACTCGAGGAGCCGGAGCTTGGCAGAGGCGATGGTGCGGGCCTGCCAGACGGGCACG